GAGGGTTTTTTAAGCGATAGATAGGCTTTAAGAGGCACGATCAATTTTTAAAGAATTTTCTTTTCAAATATTCACCGAATTTTGTTTGGGAGTTTTAACGGCCAAGTGGCTGAACCATTGCGCATTCATGCAATTATATTTCTGCTCCGTTGCATTTGCCCAATTATTTTATTCAACAATCTAACTTAGGTATAAACAAACTATGTTTAGTTAAAATGGCTTAGTCTAAATCGATGTGGCATGGGTGATATTGACCTTCCAATTTCTATCAAATTTGTGTACTTTTTAAGTACCGAAAAAGTGCTGTGAGAAGTTATAGCCGTTCGTAGCTCAGGCTTAACCATTTTCAGATAAGAGTTGGTAAATGAAAGGAGGAAAGATAGTTCTTTGCAACTGTATGAGTCACGATTAAGTGATTTTAATGATAAGGCTAGGATTAATTACTGTAAATCTCCTTCAGTTCACCAACATGGCGGCCCCTCGAGGCCCCGCCAAAACTGTCATTCCTGTATCTTTGAAACCAAAGAGAATTCGAACCTTAGAATATGCATTCAGTATTTAGGACACCATTCTAAGACTACATGCCGAAAATCAGCCAAATCGATGAGGTACCGTGTCAGGCCGAAGTTCGAATTTTACAGAAAATCACTCTTAATTGAGCCACGAAGATAGGCCCGATACTGAGCTGAGCCGTCCATGTTTAAAGTGGCGCCAAGGGGTTGCATAAAGCGAATGGTGCGTGGATAGACATTGCTATTTTCTTCTTCGCAACGAATTGTCGTTGGAAGTGTCGCTGCGCTACATTCAGAAAAAAAGATATCAAATTACATTTTTCCCCAACCTAGGCCACCTGCCTATTAGCCACTGGTTACAGTTATCAACATAACGGCAACAATGTACAAGCGTCAAAAACTCTACGTTCATGATCATGTTTTATGCTAAGGTTATGAACAACCCAACAGATTGAAGAATGAAATAACAAAAGCTTGATAATATAGGCATGTTGACATTGAAAAAAAGGGGGGTAATAAATGGCGGCAAGTAGCGTGGACGTGTTCTAGCTTTATTGAGAACACATAAACAATACAATATTGTTTAATATACAATTTATGTCAGATCCCGAGGGAAACAGTTAGTTTTGTTTTCCCTAGAGTCTTGATGTTTTCCGAGACGAAGTTGGTTTCCCGAGGGACCTGACATTAAGTGTTTTGTTGTATTTCTGGACTTTCACTTTAACAGGAACAAAAGAATAAGCTGAATGAACCAAACCAGTCGACTCGGTACTTATAAGAACACATATTTAATTCTCAAAACCACTGAATGAATGATTTACAAAGTACTTTCCTTATATTATCTGCATCTTTTTCCTGCAAAAGCTACTGTTTCTCTTCTGGCGTAACTTTGAAAATCGTTTTTAGCTTAAGGCTTCGTACGAAAAAGAAAACTGGCAGTGTTTTTCCCGCCGTCTGTCACGCCACTTTCCACCATGCTTTGATCACGTGCTGTAAAGTATCACGATCGGGATACATTTGATTTTAGTCAAGGGCACGTAACCAAGAATCAACCGATGGCAGTCCCTGTTTAGTTGAGTGAAAGTTTAGGAATATAACAACGTTTAATGTTCCCCCGCAAAAAAAAAAACTCTAATTGAGGCGGGCGTTGGCGAGAAAAGAAAAAGAAATATTAACGCTATGAGAAAAAAAAATCAAAATAAAAAAAAAGAAAGCAAAAACAAAGAGCAAAATCAAAAAGAACATTGAGTATATATAAATAAGTAATTTAAATGAATAAATTCTTAATAACGTATTTACAGTATATAACACATTATATATTAGTGTAGTGTTATTTGATTAAAATGTCCATAAATGAATAAATAATTAGATTCATTAATGAATATTTAGCAGTGGTATCACGATCGTGCAAAACAGTTTCAGTAATATAGTAATAAGCTGCGCCAAGCATTTTTTCCCTTTATCTTCAATAGACATTTTCAATGTCATGTCTACGAATCGAGAAGCTAGTGAGCGCTGCCTTTGAAAAAAAATGGATTTGCCATTTAATTCAGCAATATGACGTGACGATGATATTTTATTACGTCGTTAAGTCATGAGGTATGCCTAGATGTTGAAAATGAAGAGTAAATTATTCTGTGTAATTTTGCTAGCCGTATCACGTGCGGTTTTGAAGTTATAAAGGGGTGACCTTTAGAGCTCCTCCTCCGGTCGCAGGAAGCAACAAAAAGCCCGGTCTAAAGCTAATATTCAGTGTCCTGTTACAAACCGTAATCTCCTTGGGCAACGTTCCGGCGTGACATACCTAAAATTGCTGCGAAGGAGACTATACAAAAACTTCATATAAGGGCCTGTTTACATGGAGGTGGGGAACCCCAGGTAGGTTAGTAACCCGCTTAGGTGGCGTAACAAAATAACCCTCCTTTATATGCAGTGTTACAACCCGGCCTTCCCAGGGTACTTTCTCAAGACTATTGAAAGAAAAATGC